GGGGGTCCTGTCCTCGCTCACTTCTCCACTGTCCTCCCGTGTCCGGCTGCCCCCTCGGGCACCCTGTCTGGCCTGTACCTCCCCTCGTTCTCGACGAACTTGGTGAGTGGTGCAGACCTACAGGATGCGGGGGTTCACCAGTTCACTCCTGCGAGTCAGCGGGTGACCCACTGCACGGACGCACGCACAGGCCGACACCTGGCCACGTTCTCGCGTCGGCCAGGGTCGAGTCTCTACACCCTGAGCGTTGAGTCTCCTCCTGTCCCTGCGTCTGGTCAGGTGGCTGCGTCGGGTCAGGTGCTTGCTGCTGCGTCCCGGTCAGGTCCTGAGTCTGCCCCCTGTTCTTGTCGACTCCTGTCTCACGAGACTCTCCTGTGGCACCACCGTCTTGGCCACCCCTCCTTGCCCCGTCTTCGGAGCATGGCTTCCCGTGTCCTTGTCTCTGGTCTTCCTCAGTCTCTCCCTCCTCTCCCCTCCGGGCCAGGACCTTCCTGTGTCCCCTGTGTCGAGGGTCGCCTCCGGGCTACTCCTCACTCCTCCCACTTCCCCCCGACAGAGGCTCCCCTGCAGACGCTTCACATGGATGTGTGGGGCCCAGCCCCCGTCCGTGGGCAGGGTCACGAGCGCTACTTCCTGTTGGTGGTTGACGACTACTCGCGTTACACCACAGTCCTCCCCTTGCGCAGCAAGGGTGCGGTCACTGAGGTGCTGATCGACTGGATCCGCGAGGCTCGTCTCCAGCTCAGGAAGAGCTTCGGCTCGGACTTTCCTGTTCTGCGTCTGCACTCGGACAGAGGCGGAGAGTTCTCTTCTCGCCTTCTGCGAGACTACTGTCGTGCACGGGGGATCCGCCAGACCTTCACGCTTCCGGACTCACCACAGCAAAATGGGATTGCTGAGCGCCGCATTGGCATGGTCATGGATGTCGCTCGTACGTCCATGATGCATGCGGCTGCCCCCCATTTTCTGTGGCCGTTTGCGGTGAGGTACGCGGCGCATCAGCTCAACCTTCACCCCCGGGTCTCTCGACCTGCGATGTCCCCAGCCTTGCTGTGGACGGGGAAGGTTGGTGATGCGTCTGTGTTCCGTGTCTGGGGATCTCGGGCATTTGTCCGCGACTTGTCTGCGGACAAGCTGTCCCCTCGTGCTGCTCCCTGTGTCTTCCTTGGCTTCCCCACTGACGCCCCAGGGTGGCAGTTTTACCACCCCTCCTCTCGTCGTGTTCTGTCCTCCCAGGACGTCACGTTCGACGAGTCAGTCCCCTTCTACCGTCTCTTCCCCTACCGCACTCCTTCCCTCCCCCCTCCCCCGGACTTCCTTGTGCCGGTTCCCCCCCCGGTAGACCCCCTCCCCCCTCAGGTTCCTGCCCCCTCAGGTGTGTCCCAGGTAGACGCCGTTGACCCGGTCGAGGTTACAGGTGACTCTGGTGCTGCTGCGGGTGCTGAGCCTGGGGGTGCTGACTCTGGGGGTGCTGTGCGCGGGGGTGCTGAGCCTGGGGGTGCTACTGCTGGGGGTACTGGGCCTGAGGGTGCTACTGCGGAGGGTGCGGAGCCTGGGGGTGCTGAGCCGGGGGGTGCTGTGCCTGGAGGTGCTGGGTCTGGGGGTGCTGGGTCGGGAGCTGCTGAGCCTGGGGGTGCTGCGTCTGGAGCTGCTGCGCCTGGGGTTTCTCCTGCTGCTGCATCTCGCCGGGAGCCCCTCTCTCCACAGGAGCTGCGCGAGTGGTTCGCTCGCTGCTGGAGGCGTGCTGCTGAGTCTAGAGGTGCTGCTGGAGCTGGAGCTGGAGCTTCTTCGACCGTCGAGGGTGCGGGTGCTGCCGGTCCCGGAGCTGCTGGACCTGCGGGTCCTCCTGGAGCTGGAGCTGCTGAGGGCGTTGGTGCTGAGCCTACTGCTGTTGGTCCTGCCGCTGGAGGTGTGGGTGGCGCTGGTGCTGTCGCTGAGGGTGCTAGTGCTGTCCCTGCTGCGTCTGGAGCTGCTGAGCCTGGGGTTTCTCCTGCTGCTGCGTCTCGCCGGGAGCCCCTCTCTCCACAGGAGCTGCGCGAGTGGTTCGCTCGCCGCTGGAGGCGTGCTGCTGAGTCTGGAGGTGCTGCTGGAGCTGGAGCTGGAGCTTCTTCGATCGTCGAGGGTGCAGGTGCTGCCGGTCCCGGAGCTGCTGGACCTGCGGGTCCTCCTGGAGCTGGAGCTGCTGAGGGCGTTGGTGCTGAGCCTACTGCTGTTGGTCCCGCCGCTGGAGGTGTGGGTGGCGCTGGTGCTGTCGCTGAGGGTGCTGGTGGTGTCCCTGCTGCGTCTGGAGCTGCCACGCGGCCTCGGCCGTACTTTGTTCCGCTCCTGCAGCAGGTTCTTGGTCTTTCTCCTCCAGTAGAGGGTCCACCGCCTGTCCAGTCGCAGTCTCTACTGGAGCCTTCCTCTCCACTGCCTGCTCCCTCTCCTTACACTGGTCCTACTGGAGGTCTTGCTGAGCGTCGTGAGCCTGCGTCTCGTCCCGCGTCGCCTGTTCGTGCTGCTCGCGCTAGTGGTCGCAGTTCGCGTCAGCGTCCTCCTCCTGTCCCTGGCACGCACCAGATGTCTTTGCGTCCGTCCACTGCTCCTCTGCGTGCCCCTTTGCCTTCTCCTCCTGAGTCCTCTCTTCCTGCGCTTGCCGACCCTGAGTCGGACTCTCTTCGTGCTGCCAGCCCTACTGTCACGCGTCTGCTTGCTACTGTCGTCACTGACCCCTCTTTTGAGTCCACTGCTGCGTCTGCTCTAGTCGCTGAGCTCGTCGACTTTGCTGCTCGCTGTCGTCTCGACTACGCTGCTAGTCTTGTTGCTGAGTCTGCGTCTGTCTGTCCTCCGTCCGTCGGGGGTGAGTGTGCTCTTGGCACGGACGTCCTAGAGGACAGGCAGGAGGAGTTACAGTGTCTAGCGGCTGCTTCACCTCATCTCGCGTCTGTACTGCTTGCCCCTGAGGGAGACCCGGATGCACTAGACATCCCGACTCCGCGTTCTTACGCGGAGGCCGTAGAGGGTCCCTACTCCTCTCAGTGGCAGGCAGCTATGGATGCAGAGATGGCTTCCTGGAAGTCCACAGGCACCTACGTTGACGCGGTTCCCCCTCCTGGGGCGAACATCGTCAGTGGCATGTGGATCTTCAGGGTGAAGCGGCCGCCGGGCTCTCCACCTGTCTTCAAGGCACGGTACGTTGCTCGTGGCTTCAGTCAGCGGCAGGGAGTTGACTACTTTCAGACCTTCTCTCCCACCCCGAAGATGACTACTCTTCGGGTGCTGCTGCACATAGCCGCTCAGCGCGACTACGAGCTTCACTCTCTCGACTTCAGCACTGCGTTCTTGCAGGGTAGCCTGCACGAGGAGATCTGGCTTCGCCGTCCACTTGGCTTCACTGGGACTTTCCCTCCTGGCACCCAGTGGAGCCTCCGACGGCCAGTCTACGGTCTCCGTCAGGCACCGCGTGAGTGGCACGACACACTGAGGACTACGCTTGCGGCTCTTGGGTTTGCTCCTTCTACTGCTGACCCGTCGCTGTTTCTTCGCACCGACACTTCCCTGCCGCCGTTCTACATCCTCGTGTACGTCGACGACTTGGTCTTTGCCACAGCGGACACTGCTGGACTCGCCTACGTGAAGTCCGAGCTGCTGAAGAGACACACGTGCACAGACCTGGGTGAACTGCGCAGCTACCTTGGCTTGCAGATCACTCGGGACAGAGCACGCCGCACCATTACCTTGACTCAGTCACACATGGTGCAGCAGGTCCTTCAGCGCTTCGGCTTTACGTACTCCTCGCCTCAGGCCACTCCTCTGCCTACTCGCCACTCACTCTCAGCTCTGCCTTCGGATGAGTCCGTAGAGTCGAGTGGTCCGTATGCAGAGCTTGTTGGCTGCCTCATGTACCTGATGACCTGCACACGACCTGACCTTGCATACCCTCTGAGCATTCTTGCACGCTATGTTGCTCCTGGGAGACACAGACCGGAGCACATGGCTGCAGCGAAGAGGGTATTGCGCTACCTGTGCAGTACGTCGGGCATGGGGCTAGTGCTTGGAGGGCGGAGTCCAGTGGTCCTTACCGGCCACGCGGACGCTTCTTGGGCTGACGACCAGTCTACGCAGCGGTCGTCACAGGGTTACACCTTCAGCCTTGGTTCCGGCTCTGTCTCGTGGCGGTCTACTCGCTCGTCTTCAGTTCTCGGCTCCAGTTGTGAGGCTGAGATCTACGCCGGGGCCATGGCTGCACAGGAGCTTCGCTGGCTCACCTACCTGCTGACTGACCTTGGAGAGCCGCCTCGTTCTCCTCCAGTGCTGTACGTAGACAACAAGGCCATGCTGGCCTTGTGTCGAGAGCAGCGCTTGGAGCACAGAACGAAGCACATTGCTCTCCGCTACTTCCTTGCTCGTGAGCTGCAGCAGCGTGGTCAGTTGCGACTTGCGTACGTGGCCTCTGAGGCCAACACTGCTGATGTGTTCACCAAGGCACTCGCGCCTTGTGACCATCAGCGCTTTTGCACCCAGCTGGGTCTTGTACCTGTCTTGCCTCACTTGCTCTCCTCTTGACTTCACTTGTACTGTGACATATATATATACCTGCTCTTGCTTGTCTAGTTTTATATATATGTCTGTACCCCTGCATGTGAACTGGCCTCTGGCCCTGCTCTTGTGCTCGGACTGTGTGGTGACTTTGTGATCCACCCTGAGCTTGTTTTGCTTTGCTTTGCTTGACTGGTCTTGTGACCCCTTGTTCTCCCCCACTTAGCCTATGGGGGTGTGTCAGAGTATTATAGCTAATGCATGTTTGTAGGCTATAGTGGGGTAGCACATATGGGGTACAGAGTTTCTAGGGTTGTATTTGTACCCATTCTTTCCTTAGTCATTCATTCCTGTTCGGTTATTCTCACACAAACAACCCAAAAAAAGAGAAACGGATACAAAACCTTAGTAGTTTTGTAGTAGTGGAAGTAATATAGAAAGGTGGGGCTCCCCGTGCTTGAATAGAAAATTATGCCTCTTATCTAACGCGGCACACATATGTACTTAGCCCCGACCTTCCCAGCACAGGCATTGCCATTGTAGGTATTGAAATCTGAAGCTGCCTGGCTCATAGTGCCCCCATAGTAGCTGTAAGCACCGGAACAGGTCAGCGATGGGGACACATTCTTGGGCCGGCCCTTGGTGCATTTTCCGAGTAAAAACGGCCAGTAATCTGCTTGCAGACACACCTGGGGGCACCACGCGGGGCACGGGGTAGAAAAGAAAAGAGAAGAAAGAACGATAGGAGGATGGGAACAGGAAAGGTTGGGAGCAAAGCAAGGATGGACACTGTAAGTGCCCCCGATGATTGGCTAGCTCCAAATCTCCTCATTCTCCCACCTACCACCTCCCGTTGCGCATCCCCTCTCCCCACCCATTCCTTTCCCACTTGCACTTCTCACCTGCACGCCGATTTTGTTGCCAACAGCCGACGTGGTGAAAGGGATGGTGTTGGAGCAGACAAGACCGGGGTTGTTGCGGTAGAGCTCAGCCCAGGTAGAAGGAGTGCTTGGCAGTCCCAACCCCTGCAGCAATTTCTCGCACGTGCTCTGTGCAGCGAGCCTGGCGTATTTCACACACTGAGGGACGCTGTAGGCGTATGTTCTGTTGCGCTCCACACAGATCGAGCGGCCGGGCTTGATGGTTTGCGTGCAGTCAAGGCCAGGGTTGAGGTCTGTGAGATCGTCTCTGGTGAGTTTGATAGAACTGGCAATGGACACACATGTGTCGCCCTGGAGGGTGAAGGAGGTATGAACGGATGGAAGAGGATGGAAGGGATGGAAGAGGATGGAAGGGATGGAAGAGGATGGAAGGGATGGAAGAGGATGGAAGGGATGGAAGATGACTGAGAAGGATGATTGATGGACAAGAGACTATCCGCATTTATGGGGCATTCGTTGGATGCTGTTTTGAGGTGGGTAATATGATATCTAGTGAGTTGCAACGTGGCAATATGGTGATGCATGCCGGTGCTGCAGAGTGAAGTGAGGATAAAAGGGATGAAATGAATTAATGATTGGCATACGATGCAAGAAGAGGGGAGATGATGAACAATGTTGAGAATCGGAAACATTTTAATTGAGCATCAGGGGTGCAAAGTAGCTGGGGATACGAAGCCGGGGAAGTTGCAAAGTATTGATGTGCTGATGCATGATGGTGTAGTCACTTGAGACAGAAGCAGACGCATTGAGGCGAGGCTGCTCGGTTTGGCGAAGCGGAGCGAGTAAGAAGGCGAGACAAGAAGGCGAGACAAGAAGGCAAGACAAGAAGGCGAGACAAGAAGGCGAGACTAGAAGGCGAGACAAGAAGGCAAGCGAACAAGAGTGACTTGAATAGATGGAATCACAATGCTCTAGTGAAAGGACAATATCTCGCACTCGGGAAAAAATAGATAATAATAATAAATAAAATAAAGAACACAGACAAGGATCCAAGGCTATTTTATTGCTGGCTCCAGCACTCACACTGAGAACGTAGAAGAAGGCAGTGCAGGGGATGACAGGAGACTCAGCGAGCTGAAGCACCGTCCCTTTAGGTAGCGCTTTGTTGCATGCAACGGCCTGCATTAGGCAGTACAGGCATTGGAAATCAAAGGCATTGGGAATCACACGCATTAGGAATTACAGGCACTGAGAAATATATGGATTTAAGAGCACAGGCATGAGGGTTTTGGGCCAACTGCAGATACAGATTCTAAACAGCAAAGCAGAGGAACATGGCAAATAACAAGCCCATCGTGAACCTGCCTATTCAGGCCCTTCAAGCTATTCAGGCTATCCAAGCAGAGGAATAAAACTTGTTTGTCCCAACCTATTCAGGCCTTCCACGCCAGCCGAGTTCAGTCAACCCTTTCAGTTGATCTCTCCTTACCGAGTTGCCGTCAGCTGTGAAAACTGCGGGCTGGAAATCCTGTGAGGGAATACCATTCTGATTCCACGTCCCCGCACAACTAGGACGGCTTCTGACTCGACTCAACTAGGGCGAATTCAGTTCTTTCTTTCCTTCCCATGCATGGTGATCTCCCCTTACCGACTTCTGCAGAGTGAACTGCATGCTGCCTGATGATATCCCCTTACTGTGTTCTGTTGAGCGAATTGCGTGCTGGAGAGCCCTGCAAGGGAATACACGTCCACGCACTGCCAGTTGTCACCAATTACCGTCATGCTGGTGGCAGTCATGTTAGCTGGAGGGGAAAGCGAGAGGGCGAGGGATGAAAAGAGGAAAAAAAAACAGAAATTCGCAACCATAAGGGACAAAGCTTCTGCGGCTTCCACAAAAATGAATTCTCAGTGAAGGGACAAGCTGAGTTTTGAAGAGGCGACGGGGGCGACAAGGATAGAAGGAAGGACGATGCTACTCACTTCCTTGCGCATTCCTCAACAAGCTTCCTTCCTTTGACTCTTAAACCCTCCCCAAGCTCAACTAGTGACAGTCATTCAGTATAAGGACAGCATGCGGCTCAGTCATTCAGCAAAAGAACAATACCCAGAAATACAAAATCTCGTGAAACGGGTTCGGGGGACTGGGCTGTTGGAGAGAATAATGGGCACGTGGGAAAGAATAAGAGGCAGAGGAAGGCGAGGGAGAAGAAGCACCTGTCTTGCAGGTGGGGAACAAAGAGGAGAGCTACAAATGTTGGAGGAGGAACAAGAGAGTAGAGGAAGGTGGGGTTGCAGCAGCACCTGGGTCGCAGGTGGGGAAGTTGTCAATGGTTCGGCTGGGGACGTAGTTGGGAGGGCAGATGCAGGAGTAGGCGCCCTTGCCATCGTTGATGCATGTGCCCACAGCGCAAGGGTTCTTGAAGTACGACCCACACACGTCCACTGTTAAGAGGGGTGGAGAGGAGTAATAGGGAGTGGTGTAAGGAGACGAAGGGAGGGAGGAGGAAAAAGGGAGGGGGGGGGGGGGGGGGGGGGGAGGGGGGAAGAAGGAGGTGGGGGGGATTACATTTGTGACCAAGTAGATTCAGGGCAAATGTCAGGAGGATTGACCCTTGGCTTGGCACAGAAATACAATACATACATGTGAGTGGTATTTGTTCACATGTGAAAGGTCTGTTTGTTTGTTTGTTTGTTTTATTTTACGGCCCTGCATGGATCCAGAACCTAGAAAAGCTACCAAGAAGCACACAGAACCATGAAGGAACGTTGCAACGATGAGCAATACACCGTATCTCACCATATACACAGATGTTTCCATATCCGTTTGCTGCCTCAACGAAAGGCTGCTTGGTCTGATCCGGAATGGTGCAGTTGCAGGTGTTGCTGTTGGTCTTGAGGTTGGGCATGCAGGTGAAGCGACCGCACGGGTTCATGCTGGGCTGAAGATCTCCATCGCCCTTGTAGCTCTTCAAGCCGCATGGGTCCTTGGGAACTGGAAGGCACAGAAGAGAGGGAGAGAGGGCAGGAGGAGATAAGGGAAGGATGAACCCCATGAACCTCAGGAAAGCTGACGTGTCAGCTTTCTCATGAACCCCTCAAAAGAGAAAGAGATGGAAAGGAGCACGCAAATAGCTCTTATTCTTGGGAATGGGCGTGCTTGCTGACCCTTAAAGAAGCTGTTATCACTGTTCCTTGGGGACTGGATGGCACACAAGATACAGAGGGCAGGAGGAGATAAGGGAAGGATGAATGAACCCCATGGAAAGCTGAAGTTCCATAGAAAGAACCAGGAGCATGCAAATAACTCATAGATATGCTCCATTCTCGGGAATGGAAGCGATTTTTGACCCTTCAAGAAGTAGGAACACAACCTGATATGGTAGGTGCCTCACTCTTGACAATGGGGTAGATGCCAGGCAGCACGTTGATGCCACACACGCCATCGCCTCCCTGCATGTCCATTCGCATGTGGCCCCTGTCTCCCCACTCCTCGCCCCACGAGTTGCGGATGATCCAAAACGGCGGCGCAATGCGGTTCTCACTCCCATCATCCCTCAAAACGAAGTACCCAACAACGAGTACGACGTGGTTCAGGTTGCCGGTATAGCAGCCAGGATCCTGGTACTTGAAAGTCTGGAGACAGAAAGGCAAACATGAAAATATACTGGTTAGATAACATAAATAAGGAAGTGTATATGCACAGCGTATATCAAGTAAAAAAAAACATTAGGAGCACTGGTTGTTCTTTTATAAACAGCAGAACATTGTATGAGTTACATGACATATATTCACGTTCCTGTTCCCCACATTACTGGTAGAAATGTAGCGATAAACTGTGCCACATCACTTGTGGCAAGCAGGAAGCGGAAAGGAGCAACCAACCATTTGTAGACAAACAAAAGCGACTTGGTTTCACTCACCCCGTCGTATTTGGCGAAGGAGGCAACAGTGGCTTCAATGTGAACCACCACTGGCTGCTTCTGCACTGCCAGCAAAAGCCCCACATACCCCTTGAATGCAGTGCGCTCAAAGCCCTGAACAGGGTACGTGATTTTCTGTAATGCAGAAGAGTAAGTCGTGAGGGTTGGGACGGGAAGTGAATGTGATGTAAAAAGGGCAGAAAAATGAGGTTATTAGATTGGCAAAGAGAGGAGAGATTTGCGAGAGAGTGTCGGGCTATAACGAGTGAGAATGTCACTGGCATTGAGTTATTTTTTATTCCTTTAAGATGACCGCACAACCTGAACAGTGCTCAGAACGCCCTTATTGCCTTCCATACCTTATTGCCGTCCATAGTAATGGCCCCCTTTGGCAGCGCCATTAGTTTCTCAAAGGCATCAGTGGGTGAGCCTCCAGCGTTGCATTTGGCTGTCTGGGTGGTGAGGCCCATGGCTGTGAAGAGTGAATCCACTGACAGCTTAGGCGCCTCTAGGTTTGTCGCGATGCCGTATGCTGCTTCTATGCTCGACACCACTGCGTATGCCCAGCATGCATCTGTAGGAGAGCAGAAGGAAGCGCAGGAAGTAGCTTTAATAGTGGGTACAGTGCTGGTGAACAAGAAAGAATGCAAGAATGCAGAAAAAATGCAAGAATGCAGAAAGAGTGCACGAATGCAGAAAGAATGCAAGAATGCAGAAAGAATACCCCCCTGTTGGCGTGGCACTCACTGCAATCGCTCAGACTAGCATTACCAGACCCTGAACTCACTGCAATCTTTCTGGTCCTTGACGGGCCAGCCCAGGAAGGGCACGGAGTCCCAGGAGTGGAGGTCCCTGAAGACCCACGAGTCCTTCTGCCCGGCCGACACTCGGTAGTCCGCACTCACATAGCGTGGGAAGGGGCTTGCTCGTACCGGCACGTATGTATTCAGCGTTACATTTAATCCGTAGGCTGGAGAATGGGAAACATAAGTGCGTGTGAGCAGTTGGGGAGCGAGTGGCAGTGGCAGATGAGCGACACAAGTTGGGTTTGAGGGAAAGATGTGAGGGGACGTGACGGGTAGATGTATGGATGCAACTGGTGCTGCCATTGAGAAGGTATGTGTTAGAGCCTAGAAGACAAGAAAGCATGTCAGAACAGTAAGAATGTTAGATTTTTAGAGGTATTGGTGAACTTAGAAAATCACCCACTCGTGGGTGAAGCATGTTTGATTGATTGATTCTGTGTTAACATGAAAGGACTTGCCTGGATTGATGTTGACTGTTGCAGGTGGGGGAGGAGCACCTGTAGGAAGGAAGACAGGCATGGAGGAAAGAGGGAAAAGAGCAGACCGGTTCTTGGGGCATTGATCGATGCTGGGAGGGCTCACAAGGCCAAGAGGTTAGCGTAACTGCTACAAGTGCAAGCAGCCTAGGGGTCAGGATGGTCAGACCCTCCTCTAGGGCTTTGGCTTGAGCGAGCGTTCCCACCCACCCGTCCGCAGGGCAGAAGCGAGGATGGTATGAATGATAAGCCATTAAGGGAGCTGGCATGGCATATTTAGGATGACAAGCAGGCGAGCGGGATATCTGTGAGGCAACAAAGGAGCTACCAGCCCAATTCTCACCTGTGCGCAGGTACGAGCTCGTAATGGTTTGAATCATGAACGGCTTGACTGTGGTGGATGCCACGAAGCCAAAGTAGAACGCCCGCGGCTGCTCTGGGACAGCCTGGGGCGGCCCCGGTTTCAGCACCGCACACAGGGACAGGCGGGTCTCTATCAGTGGCTTCATTGGCTTCACTGCTGTTGTTGCGAGGAACACCCGAACGAATCCGGGGTCCCCAGGAACATAATCCACCCATGCTGTGTACGGCTTCTTGTTGGCCAGTGGGAACGGGGACTTCACAGCTGCGACTGATTTCTCCTGGCCCTGGATATTCACCCCCACGTGCGGGACTTTGATGGTGTCTTGCGGCTTGTTTTGAAGCACGTCAAACTCAACCGCCATGCTTCGGGTGTCCATCCCACCGTAGCCCACGCCAACGTCGCTCCCCACTGTGTTGGTCGCCGAAACGACAAAAGCGAAGCCGTTGGAAACAGCCCTGCCTTTAGGCGAGAGGGCGAAGGTGAAGTTGACACTGAAGGCCAGCTCGAACCCACAGCCTGGGTACACACGCCCAGCTTCATACATGAAGAGAGGCACTGGGTCTGGGTTGAACATTCCTCCTGCCTCCTTTTTCGCTCCTGCTGTGAGCACGGTTGATGCAGGGATAATTTCCTCCTCTACTGGAGAGACAAGGTCCGTTTCTGCAAGGAATTCGTGTGGACGGATGGAAAAAAGAAGCCACGGAGAGGATGAGGAGGAGGGGTTTTGGGGAAAGGGCGATATTGAAGGCTGGAAAGGATCAAAGTGATGGCGTGCTGTGCTGTGTGAACTGAAATCAAAACAGAGAAGAGTTTCGAGAACAGGGATGCACGTACACTCATCAATCTTGCGCCCCCATCCCAAGCCATTTTCTATTAAACAATGGCCCCGCTTACCATCAACAAGACAGTAGACCCGTCGAAACAAGTTGTACCCTTGCAATGTATCACACAAGCAGGTAGGCACCAAGTTAGGCCCATCGGGGTAACACACCCCATGCCCCGTGCACAGAGGGGCGACAGAACCTATCGAGACGCCACAAAACGCCAAGCATTCTGATTCGGAACGCTGCAGGGGTGTGGTTTCCCCGTCAGCCAGTTTGAAGCAGTTTGCATCCAGCAAGTCTGTCGGCTGAGCAGGCAGAGTGCCCAAGAGGTAGTTGTATGAAAGCACAGCCAGCACGTCAGCTGGCTTCACTATGGGGCCTGTGAAATAGTTGCGAGAGAGGTCGCTGTGGAGGGGGGGGGGAGGGGGAGTGGTGGGGGGAAAGCACAGGGGCGGAGGGCACCTCAGTAAGTTTAGTGCTGCCAATAGCAACAGTATGAGGACGAGAGTGATATACAGTGTGGCTGGCTGGTTCTTGTGGGATTGGGTCCAGAAAGTGAAAAAGGTGTGTCTATTATGAGAAGAATTTTGAGTCGACCAAAAATGATCTCCTGTGGATAGACTCGGTAGGAGCAAGTAGTGCATTCAACGGTGCCCTGTTCTCGCATTCAACGGTGCCCTGTTCTCACATTCAACAGTGCCCTGTTCTCACGGTGCGAGAACAAGGCAACACGCCATAGTGACACACGGCAGTGCATTGAACGGTTGACAGAACGCTCTTGTGCAGCAAATGCGCTAGTAAATGCGGAATTTGCTTCATGACAGTGATGCAGCAAATCATTCAAACGAGAGCACACTGATTTGAAAAGAAGGAAGGAAGAGAAAGTGTGTGAGTGGGATTCCTTGCAGGCAATTCGAAAAGAGACTTACAAAGTCTTGAGGTTTGTGAGCAAGGTGACTGCTTCTGGTATGCTTCCATACAGCAGGTTGTTGGGAAGAGACCTGCGAGCCATCACGTGAAGGCATGGTGGAGGGATGGTGGAGGGATGGTAAAGGTATTGCGAAGAGACATGATGGTGAATGAAATATGATATGCATGTTTGCACTGCATGCACAGTGGGGGAGGAGAAAGCATTAGAGGGAGGATAGAGAAACGGAGAGGAGAGGAGAGGAGAGGAGGGGTGAAGAGAGGAGAGGAGAGGAGAGGAGAGGAGAAGAGGGGAGCGGAGAGGAGGGGAGAGGAGAGGCGAAGAGAGGCGAGGAGAGGAGAGAGAAGCAGAGGAGAGCAGAGGAGTGTAGAGGAAAGGTGTGGAGGTTCAGGAGCATTGCAATGGTTCCCCATGTTGGAGATGAAAGAGCTCTTGATGGTTCCCCATGTTGGCGATGAAAGACCTCTTGATGGTTCCCCATGTTGGAGATGAAAGAGCTCTTGATGGTTCCCCATGTTGGAGATGAAAGAGCTCTTGATGGTTCCCCATGTTGGAGATGAAAGAGCTCTTGATGGTTCCCCATGTTGGAGATGAAAGAGCTCTTGATGGTTCCCCATGTTGGAGATGAAAGAGCTCTTGATGGTTCCCCATGTTCAGGAGGCATTGCAAAAGACATGTTCCAATGGTGCTAGACTGCATTGCAAACAATAGTGGTTTTTGTGCTGAGGGTTGTTGTGACTGTTAAGAAAATCGTGGGTTGATTAATTCAGTACCGACCAACTGTTGTTACATCTACTAGCGATGCACACGGATCAATCGCCACTCACAAGTGCACAAGATTGGTAAGGCTGCCAATGACAGTCGGAATGAAGCCAGTGAGCTTGTTCCTGTCAAGCCACCTGCATATTGACAGATTCAGATTGACAGAAATGGTCACAAACTGTACTGACACAGCATCAACCACTCATCAGTGTACAGTCTGACTGTGCTTCGTCAACATGCATCATCCCCTCTCTCAATTATAACGAGAAAGCTTGTGTAAGAACATGAAGATCCGCCTTACAGTTCCTGGAGACTCTTCAGAGGGGTGATGGTAGCTGGGAGGAGAGGCCCACTGAGGTCGTTCATCCTTAGATCTCTGTGTGGACAGAGAGCGGAGCAGAAGGATGGAACACACAAGGAGAGAAGGAGGATTAGAGAGGAGAGCACACAGACGGTTGGGACAGAAGGAGATCAGAAAGGTCGATGGATTGCAAACAAGGCAGCGCACATGCAGCAGCAGAGGACTGTAGGGTAATTTTGAGGCACCTAAAAAAAAGAGGTGTATGGGTAGTTGTACGTCAGAAGTCCATGCTTTGACTCCCAGCTTATGGAAAAAACCGGAGAGGAGGGCTGGCAAGCGAGAATACAAGTGATGCAGTAGCACAAGGAGCGTAGCACAACAATCTAGTGGAAAGTTGTGACATGCTATACGTGGTAAGGAACCGTTATGGATTAGTTAGTTCTATAGAACACACTGGTGTGACAGGGCGAGAGGGGAACAACTTGAGAAGCAAGCCGCACAGTCAACGAGCGGCTTACAGGAAAACGAGATTGGACAACCAGCTGAGTTTCGAAGGGATGGAGTCGGAGAGCGCATTAAAGCCCAAGTTCCTATAGGCCAGAGGGGCACAGAGAAGGAGGGGTGGATAAGCGTGGGGTTTGATCATGCATCAAATGATTTCTTCTGATAACCTTGCAGCATGCGAATCAGTTAAAACACAGTTTGCGGAGATAAATGACCAGATGAAAGAGCGAAAAGAGGAGCTGTGGTTGCAGTGAAATGGACAGCGGCAGTGATGGCAGCATTAGTGGTAGTAGTAGCAGCATCAGCAATGTTAGCAGCAGAATCAGTAGGTCAGCAGCAACAGTAGGAGCAGCACCTGCAGCAGCACCTGCAGCAGCAGCATCAGTGACATTAGCAGGACATTCAGTAATGAGGCAGCAACGGTTGGAGCGCTGCAAAGCACGTGATAGCAGCAGCATTGCAGTGAGGGAGTGCAGGGAAGAATGGGTAATATAAGGGTATTTTGTGCTAGAGATTTTCACACTAGCGAAGCAAACATGCAGCGGGCATGGGATGGGTGATGCAAAGATGGAATGGTAGCAGGCACATGGATGGATGGGTGCTCGTGTCGACACTCACAGTGAGACCAGACGGTCCAAGAAGCCAAGCTTTGAAGGGATGGGCCCAGAGAGCTGGTTGCGGGACAGGTCCCTGTAGTGGAGTGGAGATAAGGGGTTTTTGGGGTACAGATGGATGAACAGAGTGAAGGGTAGATTGATCACAAGTCCCTGGAGAGGATGCCCATAAGGGGTTTTGGTAGTACGGATGGATGAATAGATTGATGGATAGATTGAAGATAGGTTTGGAAGCAGTGGGGGACACTTGTAAGCACACACCAACAAGTCATACACTAGGACTTACAGGGTTTGCAGGTTTGAGAGAGAGGTGATAGCCGTGGGGATTGAGCCATTGATTTGGCTGTTAACTATAGACCTGTGTTGATGCACAGATACGAAGAGAGCATTTGATAGGTCAATCCAGGTCAGAGAACTGAAGCATGCAAGAGACATGACAGTACATAGCAGGAAACAAGAAACGAGTGTGCGAGCAAGAGGAGATGCAGGTAATGCATATAGCACATGAAATGACTAGGAAAAGACCATACAGTTCTTTCAGTGATGTCAAGGAGTAGATCACAGTAGGGATAGGGCCAGTGAACCCCATGTTGTCAAGACGCCTGCGATTCGTAGTGGGAACAGCATAGATGGAGAGACCATATCAAAAGGAGAGGGATGCATAAGGAAAAAGAAAGTTTAGAATAGAAATGAGTGTTCGGGTTGAGGAAATATTGCCTAAAAACTTTCACTTGGTTAGCGAGAATTACAAATGCGGATTCTTTTCAAAACATCTCGGAGTCGAGTAAAACTTGACTCAGTATTTGCTCATGTTAAATTCAGAGGATAGCACAGCAGCAATGCAGTACACGCCTCTCATTTCTCGTTGCACCTGTCCCTCTCATTTCTCGTTGCACCTGTCCCTCTCATTTCTCGTTGCACCTGTCCTTCCACCACCATCCACAACAGAAATCTTTCTTTCGAGCAAAGTAACTCACAGTTTTTGCAGATTACTAAGATCTGTCAAGCTAGCAGGGAGGACACTGCCTGAGAACTTGTTGGATGAAAGATCACTGGGACAGGATGAAACGTGCAAAGGGGTGGCACTTGCGAGATGAAGCTGATAAGATGGATTGCACCGGAAAAACAAAATAAATAAAGTAGACCATAAAAAAGGAGGAGTTAATTGAGAAGAAATGCAAAAGGGGGGATCACTACCATGGTAGTTATCACAAAAACAGCACGTATTCGTGTTTACACACACGTTGATTCAAATAACTGAATACTTACTGAAAATAAAACAGCACAACAACCAATGCGCATTAGTTTAAGTGAAGATTCCTTACAGGGCAAACAGTCTCTTTTGGGAACCAATTTCAGAGGGGATAGGGCCAGAGAACTGGTTATAGCTTAAAGACCTGTAACGATTAACGTGAAGGAAGGAGAAATATGAAGGAAGGGGAGTTAAAAAAAACATGAGCGAAGCTGGAAGAGCAAATTGCAGAGAAGAGCAGGCAGCTGTATAGTTCCTGTCTTAATGCTGCGATCATTATGAGATAATGAAGCATGACGACAGCATTATGTCCAACTCATGTCATATCGAAGGACGCCTTACTTGGGTGGTACGTGTGCTAGAAATAGCAAGCACGGGATAAAAAGAGGTAGCACGAGCATAGCTTGCTTGCAGTGTGACTTAGATCTATAGCATGGGCCATGAGTGCTGGTTCAAATTGTAAGCCACTGGTTGGTGCAAAGCATCTCACTCATCTCACACACTCTTCTCTCAAATCCTCTCACTACAAGTATCCACTGTGTGACGTGCAAACAAGGCAGGATAACACTAAAAAGGTCTCACAGGAATGTCAGATCCATATTGCCAATGCCAGAAGGGATTGAGCCAGTGAGAAGGTTCTTTTGGAGACGCCTGTAGCAAGAAATAATCGTGCAGACACAAGTAGGGAACACACACACAAAGAAGCAGACACAAAAGCAGGGATTTCAGAGAAAGTTGAAAGCTAGCCGTACGACCTAATCGTACAGGGATATGGTTGACTGTGATACAACTTGTAACTTATGGATTCACAAATCAGTAATCTGAACTGCAGTGAAGTCCGGAGGACATGTATTGCTTGAATACAATCAAACTTCGGGTGTATATTTTGGCGGTCCGCATTGCTTTAAACTGGTCAGGGTGGTTTCATCTTGTATTTGGCTTGGTTAGGATGCTGGTGTTCGGTCTTGCATTCCTCTCTTCAGCAACGAATAACAAGGCGTCAAATGCATTCGTCAGGAACCAGGAACTTAATATACTCACAAGGTTTGCAAATTGTAGAGGCTGCTGAAGCCGTCAGGAAAGCTGCCTGAAAACTGGTTCGATGAAAGGTCACTGAAATAGACGGACAGACATGGAAAGGGCAGTAGCTGAAGTTGTAGAGAATGGTGAATCGAACCACAGGCTAATAAAGAAGCAAGGGTCAATGGACAGGACCAAATAATGGAGAATGGTCAATGCATCAGAAGAGCAGAAGGGGAAAGGGCGGAACAGAAATAGAGAGGCAGGCGAGCCTGGGTGCAGTGAAGTAATCTTGCTTACAGTCGAGTGAGTTTTGTGAGCGAGCTAAATCCATCGGGAATGGGTCCAGTGAACTGGTTTCCACCAAGGTTTCTGGGGTCGTTAGAGAGGCATAATGATAATAAGGTTGATTAATGATCGCATGGAAAAGAACAAACATGGGACGAGTACTAGTGAGAGGAGTGACCACGCTGGTGATATCTTGGTTATGAAGAGAAGATAATAGGAGTACAAACGGGTAGTGGAATACAAACAGAAGGAATAAGATAAGCATAATACGACTAAAAATATGAGCATGGGGCGATGGAGAGATCAACAATCTAGAAGAGCAGACCAGGGCCTATGCCCTTAAAGCTTTAGAAATTCAAGGAAAAATGTGAAGAGAACCGAAGACACTCAAATGAACCACTCTGGTGAAGTAAGCATCCAAGAATTACAGGTCTTCCAGGTATCCGGATAGGCTGATGTCTGAAGGGATTGTGATGTGACTCTGAACTGATTCTTATTGAGTTTTGAGACGTCTCAAAAGTGGCTTACAGGTCTTCCAGGTATCCGGACAGGCTGATGTCTGAAGGGATTGTGCCACTGAACTGATTGTTATTGAGAGTTCTGTACAGTGGATATGAGGGAAGGTTTTGACAGACCAAGCATGAGAGAAGGAGGTTACTTAGAAGTATTTTAAGCAACTTGTAAAATGGCATGTTAAATTTCTAAGCACATGCATGATGCTAGAGTCATTGCCTTGTCAGGGAAGTGTGCGAGGCCAAAGGTCAGTCCAACGTCTACGATAGGGCATGGACACGTTCTAAGGTAAGAAATCTGTGGAAACAGGACGTCTTTGCCCCTTCAAAAAAACGGGAGGTAGGAAAGAAGAATGTGTGTCACAGCAGCATGTTCGATTGGAAAGCAAAAAAGTGAGGCAGGGGAGGAGACCAGACAAAACAGAGAGTCAACAAATAGAGGGGCAATAGATGCAAGAACAGAAATACTTGTGAGAGCAACAGAGAGAAGAAATGGGAATAAGAGGGATGGTATGGACAAGGGACGAGGTGAAGGGAGAGTGGTACAAACATACAGCCATGTCAAGAAGGTAAGGGATTTCAAGACTGTAGGAAAGGAGCCACTGAACGCATTGTTTCCTAGATATCTGTGGGAAGGCAAGTGCAAGCGGCGCAAAAGGATGGTCAACAGAACAAAATGAGGGAGCTGGTTTTGAGAAGACGCAAAACAAAGTGGACAGTACTGAGGTTGGCGAATGAGATGGAGAGAAACGGAGAGATGAAACAAACAAACATGCGCGGCCTTATTTTACTGCAAATGCTTAGAATTAAGATGGATGCAGCAATCACGATACACATGCAAGCATCAATCCACACCCCTGGTGTATCTTTCACATTCCAGCTCTCTAGGCACAACACATTGATCTTGCCCATTCTTCCTGTCCAGTCTCACAAGTATCCCAGCCAAGCTATACTGCTGAAGCTGTCGGGGATGCTGCCTGAGAACTGGTTGGATGAAAGATCACTGGATCAAAATTACATCGGAAGGGATAGAAGTTGAGTTTGCATCTTCTAACCCGGTGAAAGAGAGTTAGTGGGTTTGAATGTAGAAGGAACTAGCAAGAAGGTGAAAATCCAGTGACAAAGAGTTGAAAACACACATAACACACATCCACTATATGTGGTGTGGGGCCAGCAGGGAAAAAACGAATCAACTAAGGCTGGCATTTCTACTAACAGAGAGAAATGGAGAAGATCAACGCAGATGTCTTACATGGAATATAGGGCAGAAATAGTTCCAATAGCTTCAAGTGAGCCGTTTAGCTGATTGTAAGAAACATTTCTGAGATGATGAGCACATGACAGCCATAAGAGAGTAGAAGAGAGAGGAACAGTCAGAAAAAAGCAACACAACCTCAGAAAGAGCTATTCTTGCTACAATATCATCAATCCAGACAGCAGCACAATGTACATTGCCTTGCTCGGGGATGTTTTTAGAACACAGGTCATGGGAGAAATGTGGAGGGATGATTTCTGAAACGGACTACATGTAAAGCAGAAATCTGCTCTACTGTAATCACGAAATCATGAAATACATGCAGCAATCACAAAATACACGCACGTACGTTTCACATTCCAGTTGCATCCACATTCCAGTCATATACTTCACAATCCAAATGTTATCCTCAACGCAACACACGTCAATGTTGTCATTCCTTGTGTCCATACTCACAAATTTCCCAGTTCTTGTAAATCACTTAAGGTAGCTGGGATGCTGCCAGTGAACTGATTGGATGAAAGATCACTGAAACAGGATGGAAAGTGGGAGCGAAGGCAGTTGAGATTGCAGTTTCCAGATAGCATAGCAAAGTGTGAAGAAGCTTAGGTGGTTGAAATGAGTGTATGGTTGAGCACGATAACCAACTTATGTTTGGTTCGGCTCGAACCTATTCAGGTTTGCACTGAACGATTAATTCTAGTCCAGCTTGACTTTTTTTGTTGAGCCACGTCAAACTTCGAACCAAGGGCTAATTCAGTTCGGTTTGACTTGAACCGAATTGGTTCGCATCGATCCGGTTCGAGTTCGGTTCTTGCTCATGCTAGCTAGATGTACAAGAAACACATTGAGATGACAAAGGCAGAAGGGGAGGTCCTCTTCTGGACCTTGACAAGCGCTAAGGACATAGAGAAGGCACATCATGAGATAAAGTAGCAAACAGGGGACAAAACATATTTGCTAGAGCTTCCTTCCCAAATGCTCCTTAGTCCCTTGTTCGCTAAAAGATAGACCATAGAGCGTGAACCATGTTGTTTCCATGACTTGTGGCGTCTGGAGTCCGAAAGCCCAGCTGGGGACTGGTGCCCCTGGCTCGAAATACAATACTAGTGGAGAAACCTGGTCCCTTCACCTTCCCTTATCCTACAGGGTCGCCCTAAACGTTTTGTCCACTCCACATACAAGGCATGGCTGCATGGCATGCTACCTCACATCATCCATTTGACATCTCTACAAAGAGAATGAGAATTGTGGCAGTGAACTGAACATGCGATAAGAACAAAGAGGGTCAGGCAAAGGAGACTGTGGGTTGCATAGCGAAAATGGAGACAGGAGGAAAGGAGGGGCGGAGACTGGAGAGAAGAGAAAGAAAGAGGTCTTACATGGAATATAAATTACTAACACCAATAGTGGCAACTACGTCGAGTGGTCCACTGAGCTGATTATAGGAGACATTTCTGAGTTAATGAGCACATGACAGTCACAAGAGAGTAAAAGGAGAGACACAAACACACTGGTTGGTGAATGCTGTACTATTTAAAGATGACAGATTATAGATAATAGGTTACTGGTTGGTGAATGCATCACGATGACATTGCGCCCTTCACACATTGCATCCAGCAGCATTGAAGAATGGAGGATAAAACGAGTAGAGATGCGGAAGGAGGAACAGGCGGGGAGGATTGGGGAGGAAAAAGAATGGGGAAGGCTGAGGTAACTTGTGTGCAAAGGAAAGGAAAGAAGGTGGGCAAAGGACACAATGTGACAGCTGCAGCCTGCTGCATGCATGCATGCCCGAACTCAACATGCGGCAGCCATGGATGGATACCCAAGTCACCATGTTTCATGCATGCATGCATGCACGCCAAACACACATAATTCTCGCACTCAAGTTGCACTCACACATTACAGACAGCTCCACCCAAAACACATCAACCTTGCCATTCCTTCCTTCGGTCCAATTAAGTCTCACAGTTTTCCCATTCTAGTTAGATCACTAAAGCTAGCAGGGATGCTGCCTGTGAGCTGGTTGCACGAAACATCACTGGTAGGGTTGGTGGTATCACGAATGCAATGCAAGCAAGAGCGGAAATGATGGCATTGAAAGGCTGATGCTACACTGCACAAGATGGACTGGAGCCACTGAAGGCCTTTGAACACATAGAGAGGCATCAGAGCACCATAGAAGCTCCACACCACACAAAGGCACATCATAGGCCCACACCGCAGGCTCACGCCATACGCCCCACCATAGAAACAACATAGGAGGAGTAATGTGAGAGTACTGCAGGAGCATTGCAGCACAAGAGACCACATAATAAGTTCACGAATATTAATAAAAAGGTTGCTAATGATGTCTATTTTTGAAAGGCGTGAATTAAAATGTTCGTGGATTAGAGAAACTTGTGGCAAGAGAGCAAAAGGATGAATGGTGGATAGGAAGAGAGGTCACATAGGTAGAGCATAGCACAGGAAATCAGAGCTCTTACATATCTCTCAAGGATGGCATAAGGCTGAGTTCAGCCGGGATAGATCCAGTGAGGTTGTTGCTGCGAAGTGGCCTGCACAATATGGTGACCATGCAATGATAGTGATCATGCAATGGACGTAGGCAGAATGTCACGGATTAGAGATTGAGAATGTCTTTTAGAAAGACAAAGACAGGAAAAGATGGGGGTATGAGAAGCGAGAAGAGGGGTGCTGATTGTTTGGAATATACATGGGCATTTGACCCGGACGGGTCGGGTCAGGAATGCTGAGAAGGCCGACCCGCCCGGGTCGGGTCGGGAAAACCCGGACGGGTCGGGTCGACCCGTGACCCGTCACTGTGATTTAGTGACGGGTTTTTGCGACCCGCCGGGTCAGGTTGACCCGTCCCGTCCGGGTCGCGTACCCAGTCAAATGACAGGGTTACCCGACCCGTTTTCGGATTAGGGTAGGGGTTGAACATTGGTTGGTTTTTTAGGTTTTTTTTCCCTCGACATTCTGATCTAGTCGCTAGACTAGATCAAGGCTAGTACTTCTGCGCTGCAGCTAGGGAGCCTCATACAGTCTTCACTCTTCAATGTTAGCACTATTTAAACTGCATATTATCTTCAGGTTAGGGTTTGGCGCTCCCGCCATTTCGCAGCGTCGCATGACCAGGGGCGCAGCAGCGCGCGTGCGGCCACGCATTGGCGGGATCGCGTCCCCGCAATAGCGCGATCTCGGCCCCGCGTTTGCTCAGCGCGATCACGGCCCCGCATTGGCGCGATCGCCGCCCCGCATATGCGCGATCGCGGCACCGCATTAGGACAGGGCGATCGCGGCCAGGTTCAGCATCGCGATCAGGCAGCGCGATAGGGCAGCGCGATCGCGGCCACCTTCAGCAGCGCGAAGGTGCCACCTTCAGCAGCGCGAAGGCGCCACCATCAGCAGCGCGAAGGCGCCACCTTCAGCAGCGCGAATATAGTTGTAACATGTAGTTTACAATGTAGCAATTCAGACCTAACCCCCATACCCTGCTGCTATGTAGCATATTTTGATCCGACCCGACCCGACCCGTGGTGTAACCGACCCGGTAACGGGTCACAAATACCCGTTCCCACGGGGCGGGTCGGGTCACCAAAACAGAGTCAAACCCGACCCGCTAACCCGACCCGACCCGACCCGTTAAGCTAACAGGTCGCCCTCAACGGGACGGGTCGGGCCGGGTCGGGTCAAATGCCCATGCTTAGTTTGGAACAAAGGCATCAAAGTTTGCTTTTCTTTAATGAAAGAGTGGCGCTTACATATAAATATGAGAGAAGGCAAATGAACAAGAAACAGGAAGTTGGTACATGAGGAGGAGATGGAGGAGGAGGAGGAGGAGGAGGAGGAGGAGGAGGAGGAGGAGGAGGAGGAGGAGGAGGAGGAGGAGGAGGAGGAGGAGGAGGAGGAGGAGAGGAGGAGGAAGAGGGGGAGAAGGAGGGGGAGGAGACAAAGAGGGTTTAGTACTACAAGCAGGCAGTGAAAAATACAGGCAAGAGAAGGGCCGCATCTCACAGAAAGTTCAGTTGAGTGAGAGCACTGATTCCTGCTGGGATGGATCCTGAAAGCTGGTTGTATGACAAGTCACTGCAATGGCACGAACCATGCATTGCAAAGAGGAAGAAACTCTGATTGAACTAGTCAGAACTGCATGGTGCTATATTCAACCAAAAGGGTCAAGAGATGATAAGATGATGGCATTATAAGTATATAGAATGCACCAAGCAGAGCCGCCTGAATGAGAATCAGGGGACAAATAACTTTCCTATGCTCACATCACATCTATGGATGCAGCGAAAACCGAGGTTGGTGCTTGAATTGATAGGGTGGAGAAGCTTGTTATTACACTAGGAGTAGGTAGGAGGAGGTGGTTGAGAAAGAGTGAGGCCTTACCCTCTTCAATCCAGAACATTACTGTCTTTGAGGGTTAAGGGTACAGAGAAGAGGAGGAGGAGGAGGAGGAGGAGGAGGAGGAGGAGGAGGAGGAGGAGGAGGAGGAGGAGGAGGAGGAGGAGGAGGAGGAGGAGGAGGAGGAGGAGGAGGAGGAGGGAGGAGGAGGAGGAGGAGGAGGAGGAGGAGGAGGAGGAGGAGGAGGAGGAGGGGGAGGAGGAGGAGGAGGAGGAGGAGGAGGAGGAGGAGGAGGAGGAGGAGGAGGAGGAGGAGGAGGAGGAGGAGGAGGAGGAAGAGGAGGAGGAGGGGGGGGGGGGGGGGAGGGGAAGGGGAGGAGGGGGAGAAGGAGGGGGAGGAGGCGGAGGTTGCGACAAAAAGAGAGAAGGTTACCCTCTGGAGGACACACAAGAGGAGGAAAACATACAGAGCATCCAAGAGAGGAGAAGGCGTTTCTTACAGGCTGTACAGCTGCTTCAGGGTACTGAGTCCATCAGGGATGCTGCCTGTAAGCTTGTTGAATGACAGGTCACTGTGATGGTTTTGAACATGCAAGGGAGTCAAACAGATACAGAAGCAACAAAAAATATATACTAGTCAAGGTAATTATTTAGTGACTTGCAAAAGTGGTTCTGATGATCATCGTGAGTACATAGAAAGTACCAAGAGGGGCATAGGGCAATGCTGACTTGACAAGCAGGAGGGGCCAGAGGAATTTTGTTTAGGAAGGTTGCCGTTATGTTGAATTGATCTGCATGGTGTCCTACGCACATCACCCCACATTGCTACATCTGAACAAAGAATACATGAACATGAAGTGAAATCAGACTCAAGGGAGGTGGAAAGCGTGGTGTGTTTGAAAGGGTAAATAAGCGTGGCGTTTAACTAGCAGGAGACAGATTGGAAGGGAGATGAATTGGTATGGAATCAGGATAACTTACAGTCCCATAAGTTTTGTAAGAGAGCTTAACCCTAAAGAGATAGAGCCTGTGAGCTGATTGCTACCAAGATGCCTGAGATAATGAGCACGGGATGTGGGTTGAGTGAGGGGTGGAGGCAGCAACAGATGAGAGATTCAGGCGTGCGCTCCGCACATATGGTGAGGTCACCAGCAGAGCAAAGAGAGTTAGAGAATGACCGGTATTATGAATAATGAGTGACAAGCAGCAAAAGTGGTGGAATAGAGGTTAGAGAACAGGGATTTCAGGCAGGTATTATATGCCCATATAAAAAAGGTAAGAGAACGCAAGAACTTACAGGTTATTGAGGTTTGTAAGAGAGAACAAGGCTTCTGGAATTGAGCCGCTGAAGTTATTTCGACCAAGTACCCTGATATGATGAGCACAAGATGTGAATGAGGGATTGAATAAGCATTGTTTGTCATGCGTTAACAATAAATAGTCCAAAATTTCAAGGAGGTGGGAGAGGAGAGGAGTGGTTAGAGAAGAAGAGAGGATGCATGCGAATGAGAGAGGAATTTTGTTGTGCTGTGGGGGGAGCAAGCAATGGCGTCAAAGGGAACACATCATATGCCGAAGCAGGAAAAGGCAGGAGATGCGGCCATATTTGACCCTCCTTCTCAAAGATAAACTGCCACTGCCAGCAGCATGAGGCTGTGACAGGCGGCAGCACATGCTAGAATAGAATCAGCTTGCAGCAGAACACATGCATGCAGGCAGTTTCACCCCGTACCAGCAATCACCCCGTACCAGCAATCACCCCGTACCAGCAATCACCCCGTACCAGCAATCACCCCGTATCAGCAATCACCCCGTACCAGCAATCACCCCTTACCAGAAATCACCCCTTACCAGCAATCACCCCTTACCAGCAATCACCCCTTACCAGCCAAAGAGTTTATGAGGGTGACGCAGTGACTGACACTCTTGGCCCCTGCTCTCTTTAGAGCCCATACCTCAGCAACTAGAGAGCATTACTGCAGCACACTAGAGCCTCCCCTTCGCCCCTAATCTTTGCAGTGTCTCTCAGTGGCACACTTGGAGTTTCCAGCACCTGGACTGGAGAGCAGTACTGTCTGTGCTTCTGTGCTTCTGAGCAGTACACTCGGAGCCTCCTGAGCTCCTGGGCTTCATGCTTACTTTACCGGCCAACTGCCTCCACAATCAAGGCCGTCAGCACTCGCATGAAGAGGCTAGTGGGTTGCGGTCGGTTGCGGGTTCCAACATAAGCTTACCAATTCCTCTCCTCTGCCTAGTCCGCAGGTCCCAACAAGAAGGGGGTCCAGTCCAGGGTCCTTACCTGTGAGATTCTCCCGTACGGTCGACGACATCTGATCCGAGTGCTCATGAGGTCAGTGAGAAGTACGGAAAGGACGTGGGTGGGTGCCATGAATGATGCTTCCACAACACAACACGCCCTTCTGCTGCTCTCTTGCAGTGCAAGCCACTGGATGATGTTTCTCTTGCATTCAGACCCTGCTGATTCAAGGATACCTGGATTACCAGCGTCACTGTTACAGACCCGGTCCTCTGAAACAATCGGGGGCCCCGATGCCTGCACGCCTTCTTGCAGGGCGGCCCCATCAGGTTGATGGTGGAAGGAGATGGGAGAACTGGGGGAAAAATCTATCAGCACTGGAACATCGAGGCTGTGGGGGGTTCTTTACATATGGGGCACACCCGCACGGTCAACACACGCACGACACAGCGTGACGTGACCATTTTGAGAGTCCATGCACAAGAAATTAGAGGAGTAGACAGGACTTACAGGGCTTGAAGGTTTTTAAGGTTGCCGAAGGTGTCTGGGAATGAGCCGGAGAGTAAATTGTTGTATACGTTGCTGTGAAACATAACCATGAATAAAAACAGGGATAAAGATGTGGTTGGTATAATCTGGTCAGGGGGTCGTTGGAACCAGCATGAGTGAACAACTACTGAGCAGAGTGGGGAGGAATCTAGCCCTTGGTGTCGGTCGGTTGACAAGGGATCCATTTTACTGCCATATTAGCACTGTTCGGAAAGCGTCACAAGAACAATCACACGCAGTACAAGGAAACCTGGAAAGAGGAAAACTGTAGAGAGGATGGACAATGAGTCATGCATGAAGGAAACGAGTGAGTCGACAAAAAAATGCAATGACAACAGACAATAAGTCATACAAGCCTGAAGTGACTGCATAAGACAGGTGAGGGGAATTGGTTAGGAGAGGGAGCAAAATGTAGGAGATCAGAACAAAGCATTTGTCTTACAGGTTAGTCAGGGCAGTAAGCGAGCTATACGAGTTGGGAATCGGTCCAGTGAGCTTATTTTTAAACAGGGTCCTGTAAAGAAATTTTGAATCAGTGATGCATTCAATGGTATAAGGTAAGGGGAGAGGGAAACAAAGTGAAAGGAAGAAATACCGTACGAAGTTGGGACAAGAGAGGTCAACAGAGTGAGAGCAAAACACAGAAAGAAAAGAAAAGTGGGAGCGAAACACAGAAAGAACTACATAAGATCACAGAAAAGGGAGAGACCAGCGTCTGATATGAACAGAGCATGGGCAAGGAGATGGGAGGTGACGCGTTATGAGGAAGAGAGGAAGACAATAGGATTGACATTTATTATATTTGGACTGCAAAGAAGGAGGTCCATGATGATCCATGTAGTCACTAGCAGGGGGAAGGGATTGGGACACAGATACATTACAAGCACACAAGAGAGCGGGTACACGGCATTTTAGGGTGACAAGTGGGCATAACAAACAAGGGACTTACATGGTTTTTAGGTTTGTAAGGGAACCAAGCTCAAAGGAGAGAGATCCAGAGAATTGGTTGTAATGCAAATTCCTATGTTATGATGTACAACCCGAAACAAGAATTTCAACAAACCAAGGCAGGGAGATAAACCACACATGAAGAGAAAGCTGGAAATTCGACAGCTGGCGACTCAGGCGTTTCAGATTTATCGGAGGTCCATCAGAGACGATCTGAAAAAATATATGCCTGAGATAACTAAATCTCTGTTGTTGCTGGCCAGAAACGAATCTTAGAGCAGGTAAGCGTGACTAACTGATTTAAAAAAATTGTACCAGGTTCATGGTCATCAGAATTGTGTGAATGAATACACCACCCTTTCACATATTGAAAGGAGGTTACTTAAGCTGTGTGCATTAAGTACTGTGAACTTCAAATGGCGTGAGGTACGAATGGTGAAGTGGAGATAATGGGGTACAAGGAAAAGAAAAGAGAGGAGAACCACTGGAGCGAGCAGGAGTGGCAAGCATTGAGAAGGATAAAAAACGGGGAGCAAAGGAGCCGAGCCCGAGCAAAGAGCAGAGGCCTTACAGAGTTATCAGCTTTTTCAGGTTGCCGTATTGGGCAGGGATCGACCCACTTAACTGATTGAGATCAACTCTTCTGTAATGGTAGAAGAAACCATGAAGTGTGAATGGATGAAGGCAGTGAAGGTACGGGTAGTACGAGTCATAAGGAAAGGGGAAATATAACAACCAACAAAAGCAACCATGGCTATGTGAATGTGGATTGAAGGGGAATGGAGAGTGGCAAGGCAAGAGCGGAACAGCGGAATTTGAAGGCAAGGAGAAGAGGAGAAGAGAAGAAGAGGAGAAGAGGGGAAGAGGAGACGAGGAGAAGAGGAGAAGAGGAGAGGAGGAGAAGAGGGGGGAGAGGGACGGATGTAGAAGTGCACACAAAAGCAGAATGGCTTACAGGAGTGTCAAGTCTGAAAGAAAACCAATGGTATGAGGTAAGGTGCCCGTGAACTGGTTGATATGTAGAGCTCTGACATAAATGCGATTGGTTCATGTATCGGTTGGATATGTGTGTTGGGACACGGGCAGGGGTGTGGTAGGTACAAAAATGGAGAAAGAACATGGAAGCCAAACAGAATGGGGAGCAACGAGAGAAGACACTACACCACTTCAAGAACATGTTCCTGTTGTAACAGAATCTACATTACAGTCAACATGCCTCATATCATTTATCATTGAGCAAGTGACACACTCGACAAATCCATAATGCAACCAGTGTAGATGAAAGACAGCACAAGAGCGCACAAGCCTTGTTACAGGCCTGGCCAGGAAGCAGGGTGAAACTGAAAGGAGGAAGAGAATGACATGACAAGGACCGTGGCCTATACTAGTAAAGTAAACTTACTTATGATTGATTGACGACGCCCAACGAGCCTCGTTAAGTTTCCACATGGCATCCACAGCACGTCACATAACAAGGCAGCTCACATGGATTGCAGTTTAAGGAGCGACGTGAAAGTATTAGGGAGGCTGCCTGTGAGCCGGTTGTATGAGAGGTCACTGAGAAACATTGGGAGAAACGTGACATGGTGTGGAAACACACAGAGAGAGAGAGAGAGAGAGAGAGAGAGAGAGAGAGAGAGAGAGAGAGAGAGAGAGAGAGAGAGAGAGAGAGAGAGAGAGAGAGAGAGAGAGAGAGAGAGGGAAAAAAACTCAAGTGCCTGCACAGACACGAAATTGATTCGGTGACTGAGGAATGGTCATCTTCAAATGTGCGATTGGAAGCAAACGGGTTTTGTCACCATAAGTAACAACGTTTTCACCTGATGCATCCGATATGGGGATACTACCAAAAGGGTTCTACAAGATACGGTGAGTCTCGGGTTTGAAAGGAAACGGAAAAGGTTGACAACGCGTGTGTCTAACCCAGTGGACGCACAAATTATATCCCTCTCTAATTTGCAAGATGATAAAATTCAAATTGGTCATCGCTCACAGTGTTTGCAGTTTAAAAAGCCAACTGAATGTAGCAGGAATGCTGCCCCCGAGGTTCTTCAATTTGAGGATCCTGCGAAACATAGATAAGTCAAAACGGAACAGCGTGAGAAAATATGACACCTCGCAATTGAATGGGTAAAAACGAGAGTGTTATTTGGCACAGAAGAATGCCCTTAACACAGCCCACAGGCGTTACATTCGTCCCCCCTGGTGCCAACGTCCTCGTTGGGGAGCTTCAGGAAGTCGGCCCCCGCAGAGACCTCAATTTTGCTGAGAAGGCAGCAGCGCTGGTGGACCAGACAGCTGAGGGTTCAAGTCTGGTAACCATATTCGAGTTCTCGCCCCATGCGAAAAATGTGGACCAGCCAGGATTTGAACCCTAGGATCAGAGATATAACGCCTCGATTTGAACCCTAGGATCAGAGATGTGGACCACCTGTTTCAAAAACAGGGTGTCATTTTGGCGCAGCAGAATGCCCTTAGGCGTACAGAAAATGCATATACACGATTTAGGGCGGTAGTTAATGGTGGAGAATTGGAAATACATCAATCTGTGCGAGCCAACACATTTCACGCACTACAACGCTACTGGCCCAATACTCATAGACGCAGCAGTTGCTTTTCGCCCTTTGTGTAAGTCCACGTCACCTGTCCCCCCTGGTATCAACGTCCATGTTGGCGAGATCGGCGGGTCCCTCTCCCAGGACAGACTTTCGAATCCTAGGTTCAATATGAGCAAAACGCCCGCGTCGTAGAACACTGCCAACGAGGGTCCCTATTGAGCGGCGCGGCAGCGGTTTTCGATAATCCTACTACAGGTGACGACTCAATGAAATCATTAACTCACATTTTCGTGATCCACCCGTCGCCGTCGCAGGTGATGTAGGCAGTTGTGCTGCAGTCGGGATTGTCGTCACCCCAGCCTTGGGCGTTGAAGGTCGACCCCCACGCCGCTTTTAAGTCCTTGAGGACTTGGACTGTGGGCGGTGAGTGCACAAACAGTGAACAGACGTGGGATTACGATCAACGGAATTGTTCTAACTGCATGGTAGTCTCGAAAGTCAAGCAATTAATTACAATGCCGCTGTTCCGTCACCCGCGAACCTTACTGGAGTGTAGTACTGCTGTAGAAGTATTTCTAGTTGCTTGGACACTGACCTGCGGGACCGCTTCCCACCTTGCATGGTGTCAAGAGGCTCGGCGCGGGCGATGGTGAGGGCCGCGACGACAAGCGCGCCGGCAATCCACCACGAAAGCGCCAATCCGCGGCGCTCCATGGCACCCCACGAACTTGAAAAGCGTAACGATGCGCGTACGTGCTAGTAGTGGTACTACGTCAATGACTTACTACTACTGCTGCACTTGAACTTGCTGGCTACTAGATTCTTGTGCTATAGCTGGCAAGACACTTGATTGCAAATGCGTGCTGCAGCGTTTGCAATCCCACCAGTTCGTTTCGAGTACAAGGGTAGTTCTGTTGAACAAAATGAGGGTACCAGAAACTTATGTGTGGGTTACCAGAAACTTTTGTGGAAAAGGGTCTCTCATCGGTCCCCGGAACCCACCTCCCCCCTGCACCTGTATTTTTTGTTCGGATGTGATTGGGCCTTTCCCCCAATTGGCCATGCGCACTTGAAAGTGGTGGTGAAGGTGTGTTGTTGCCAAGCCAGCCAGACGTTTTCTTCAATCGAGCCGAACTGAAACATGTCGGTGCAACGCAACGGTACGCATCTACTGATGTTGAAAACGTCGCATCCAAAACCGGCTCGACCGACCATTCCCTTCCACCACTGTACAGTACAGAACGGTAATGAATATGCATGCACTCCGGACATCTAGCTCGAAACACCCAGGCAGTCGTTTTTGTCGACTTCGCCAACACTGTATCACAGCCGGCTCCCACCACTCCGTTCCTAAAATGCTTGTCTGCATGCATTGAGACCTCAAAAGCCATCGCTTCCTACACTTGATACCTCTAAAACATCACTATTCCTATCCTGTTCCTTCTGAACAACACACCATGGGATATGTAATGGTAGTGTTCGCCAGCACACGGAAATTTGAAAGCATTTTCGGCATCGGAATGGCAACCGCATCAGGAACCGGGGCTGGAACCCACCGAATAGGTTTGGGCGTCATGCCACGCGCGAAAATTCGCGTCCCAAAACGGGAAATGACGCAACCGCATCTGGAACCTCCATCCCCACCTTCCCTCTTACTGGCGCGAAATATTTGCGTCATTGACCACTGCCTGACCAGGGGCCAAAAACTACTGGACTAGGGTAAAAAAGGCATTCGATCTAGTCCAGTGCCGTTGCGTGAGCACATCCAAGGTGTATTCAAGAGGGGGGGTGGGGAATGGGGGTTAAACGAACCCCCATTCGTCAAACATTTGGCTCGTTTAGAGGTTCTTCTCTGAACGGCAATGCCATCTATATGTCATCGCTGTCCTCCGTGAAAGGGGGAATGACGATGGATGGCATGGGATGGGGTATATGCACGGGGATGAAATTGCGTCCCCATTTCCTTATGTCGTTATGCCGTTCAAATTGGAGGAATTTGGGGGACGTTCGCACGGCCCTTAGTTTTGTATTTGGTTCGGACGGCATGAGAGGCTCAGCAACATTTTTACGGGCTGACCAGGCTAATGGAACTTAACGAACCCTAACTGACGTGATCTGGAAGGCATGACTGGCCTTCCTAATTGGGTCGTTTTTTCTTTTAAATGTGATGGCGAACACCGCCAATGTTTAGGCTTCCCGAACTTAGAACAACTTTTAATAAAATATCTGTACAATGTAAGACGAAGAACAATATGTCATTCCAATACATACCAAATACTTTGTCGTGTTTTGCAAACATGTTTGCTATATGCACGACGGCGGACGAGTGGGTCGTCATTCTTCTATTCCAGGTTGGTGGCTTACAAAATATTAGCTGGTGTGAATTTGGTGTTAGAATCCCAGCCACTAACCACTGGGATAAAATGACATGTTAGTGTAGCGGGTGGCGCTTATAACCCCCCAGGCCAAGGTGCCTGCAACCCTTCCCTAGGATCGATTGGGAATCACCAGTGGAACTCTGAAATTTGAAACTTTAATATGATAATCACACTCGCTGCAAAAGCCAATATCGCATGCCCTTCGATATCAGGGCATTTCTACGATAGGTAATGCGATTATGGTAAAAATCGCATGCGCCAAAATATATGTTGTTGCAATCGACACCGATTTGACGTCGTTTGGAAGATTCCATTCGCTTGTAATTATCGAGATATTGAAGGTTATGTATATCGAGAGAGGAGACACAACAAAGACAAATAAAATGGGTATGTGCAATGTAGAGGAATTCCAACTGCCAGCAACAAAATTGGGGGCACATGTATAGAGCGTATCAACGTTAAAATTGCGGAGAGCCACTCTACAACGGTGGTAGGTGGACCACATGGGAGGCTATGGGGTTGTTCGGGTGATCGTAACATTCTTTGTCTTCTCTAGCACTTGCACATTTATAGGTTTATGGAGCAATTTTGGAAAGAGTTTCACCAAGAAAGTTGAGATCAACAATGAGCTTTGGCAATGGAAACGTAACTATATCATAAGCAAGGCAACCTAGCAACATAGCAAGTGAACCTCCAGCGCTCCACAAGGACGGCTCACCAGCGCCGCAAGTTGACGGCCAACGCACCTAAAAGGCGGCTTGTCAATGCTGCAAGTCGGCGGCCCGCAAGCATTGCGTTAGGGCGGCTTGCAAGTCTTATTATCAAAGGTGACCATATGTGCATGTAGATGATTGAGCACGTCGTGCACCGCCACACACATTGTGTAGATGCCAAGTCGGCCACGTGCTGACGGTTGCTCTAGACGTTCCATGTTGACGATGTGACAGCGTCACCCATGTCGACATCGCCAAAACCACCTAGGGTACCAACGCAGAAATTCGTCGACCAGGTTATTTGGTCGACCAGAAAGGCCGCTAAGTCGGCGTGGTCGGCATCATATCGGCAACCTCCTTCGTCGACCGCCGGGGCAAGGCGCCGCCCGTTGGCGTCTCTCCGACTGCCAGCTCTGTGGTCAGCTTCGCAATGGGCGACCTCGACAAAAGTCGACTATCCAAGTCGGCTTGCCCCTCCAAGTCTGGGTCGACCACGAGGTCAACTTCGCCATTTTTTTACGTCGAGTTCGTAGTAGTCGGGTTCACCATCGGCTAACCGTCGAAGTCGGCTCCACCGAAGTGAGCTACACATAAAACTGGAGGGCCAAGAAGGCCTAAGTTGGTTCAACCTTCCTAACTTCGGTTGAGTTTGGCCATGACACCCTAAATCTTGGCCAATTGCATTGCTCGTCCAAACCAACCTTCTAAGGTTGAACTTTGTGGCCCGCGGTTTTAAGGCGGACAACCAAGCCAATTTTCTCCTCCAGGTCGACGCCGGCCATGAAGCCTAGCAAGCTGCACACTTTGCTAACTGGACAACGAAGTCAACTTCGCCGTCAGAAGGGCGGGGCCTTTTTGGGGCGAGCCACTACACAACGGGAGTGGACTACGGTGTAGGGCACGGGGTTTTGCGAGTGATCGCAACGCTCTATGTCAAGTCTGTCTGTCCAGTCTGTCCAGTCACAGCCACAGTTACCGCCTGCCTCCCCACTCCCTGTGCCTGCTCCTTACACTGGTCCGACTGACGGTCTTGCTGAGAGACGTGAGCCTGCGTCACGTCCTGTGTCACCTGCGTCTCGTCGAGCGTCGCCTGTTCGAGCTGCTACCACTGGTAGTCGTGTCCCGCGTGAGCGTCCTCCTGCTGTCCCAGGCACGCACCGGATGGCGCTTCGTCAGTCCACTGCTCCGCAGCGTGTTGCTCTCCCGTCGCCTCCTGCGTCCTCTCTTCCTGCTCTTGCTGACCCGGAGTCAGACTCCCTTCGCGCTGCCAGTCCTACTGTCACACGTCTCCTAGCTACAGTTGTCACTGACCCTACCTTTGAGTCCGCTGCTGCGTCTGCCCTAGTCACTGAGCTTGTCGACTTTGCAGCTGCGTGTCGTCTAGACTACGCAGCGAGTCTTGTTGCTGAGTCTGAGTCTGCCTGTCCTCCGTCCGTCGGGGGTGAGTATGCTCTTGGCACGGACGTCCTTGAGGACAGGCAGGAGGAGTTTGGTTGCCTTGCCGCTGCTTTGCCCCATCTCGTGTCCATGCTTGTTGCCCCTGAGGGAGACCCGGATGCACCAGACATCCCGACCCCACGCTCTTACGCAGAGGCGATGGCCGGTCCCTACTCCTCTCAGTGGCAGTCAGCCATGGACACAGAGATGGCTTCCTGGAAGTCCACTGGCACCTACGTCGACGAGGTTCCCCCACCTGGGGCGAACATCGTCAGTGGCATGTGGATTTTCAGGGTGAAGCGGCCGCCGGGCTCTCCACCTGTCTTCAAGGCGCGTTACGTTGCACGAGGCTTCAGTCAGCGAGAGGGAGTTGACTTCTTCCAGACCGTCTCCCCAACCCCGAAGATGACCACTCTTCGGGTTCTGCTACACGTCGCCGCTCAGCGTGACTACGAGCTCCACTCTCTTGACTTCAGCACAGCTTTCTTGCAGGGCAGCCTGCACGAGGAGATCTGGCTGCGCCGCCCACCTGGCTTCACTGGGTCGTTCCCTCCTGGCACCCAGTGGAGCCTCCGGCGGCCAGTCTACGGTCTCCGCCAGGCGCCGCGTGAGTGGCACGACACACTGAGGACTACACTTGCGGCTCTTGGGTTTGCTCCTTCTACTGCTGACCCGTCGCTGTTTCTGCGCACCGACACTTCGGAGCCGCCGTTCTACATCCTCGTGTACGTCGACGACTTGGTCTTTGCCACTGCGGACACTGCCGCACTCGCCCACGTGAAGTCCGAGCTGCAGAAGAGACACACGTGCACAGACCTGGGTGAACTGACAAGCTATCTTCGCTTGCGGATCACCCGGGACAGAGCACGGCGCACCATCACCTTGACTCAGTCACACATGGTGCAGCAGGTCCTTCAGCGCTTCGGGTTCACGTACTCCTCGCCTTAGTCCACTCCTCTGCCTACGGGACACTCGCTCTCAGCTCTGCCTTCGGATGAGTCCGTAGAGCCGAGTGGTCCGTATCCAGAGCTTGTGGGCTGCCTCATGTACCTGATGACCTGCACTCGACCTGACCTTGCATACCCTCTCAGCATCTTAGCACGCTATGTCGCTCCCGGCCGTCACCGGAAGGAGCACATGGATGCAGCTAAGAGGGTGTTGCGCTACTTGTGCAGTACGTCGGGCA